TGGGAACAGCCTGCGGCGGCCCGGCGTGGGAGCGCTCGGCGGGCGTCCCTGGGGGCGCCGGGGCCCCTGGCGTGGCGCGGGTGGGGCACTGCAGAGCCGGGTCTGGCCTCTGGAGACCCTCGGGACGGCGCCAAGAGCAGGACCTCCCTGCCTCCACACCTCTGCTCACGGGAATGCACTCTCCGGGCCTCCGCGGACTCGAGCCCTGCCGGCCTGGGCTAACCCACTCCCCAGGAGCTGGCCTGTGGTGTGCTGCTCCCACTACAGCTGGTGAGAGATGATGAAAAAGCTCCCTCGAGTTCAAATCTTAGCCGGGTGACTTTCTTTCTTTTTTTTTCTTTGAGTTGGGGTCTCACTCCTTCGCCCAGGCTGAGTGCAGGGGCACACTCACCGCCACCCCAGGGTTGACCTTCTGGGCTCCAGCGATCCCTCCAAGTAGCCAGAACTACAGATGGGCGCTACCACACCCAGCTGTTCTTTTATGTATTGTAGGGACTAGGGCTGGCCAGGTTGCCCAGGCTGATGTGAAACCCACACACTCGGGCAATCCACTCGCCTGGGCCTCCCAAAGTGCTGGGATTACAGGCTGAGCCACCGAGCCCGGCCAGCTGTGTGAGTTTCAACAAATGGCTCAACTTCTCTGAGCTCCCTTTTCCTTTCCATGAAAGGGAGATAATGATAGTTTCTACTTCACATTTCCTACCTCTCATGGCAGTGATAAAGACTGAATAAGTGCCAAGTGTGGTGGCTCACACCTGTAATCTCAGCACTTTGGGAGGCTGATGCAAGAGGATTGCCTGAGCCCAGGGGTTTGAGACCAGCCTGGGCAAGTTGGCGAGACCTCGTCTCTACAATAAACAAACAAACAAAAATTAAGCCAGGTTCGGTGGCTCAGCCTGTAATCCCGCGCCTTGGGAGGCTGAGGTGAGTGGATTGCCTGAGCCCGCATGTTCAAGACCCACCTGGGCAACTTGACGAGACCTCATCTCTACAATAAATCAGAAAATCAGCCAGGTGTGGTAGCACATGCCTGTAACTCCAGTTACTTGGAAGGCTGAGGTGGAAGGATTGCCTGAGATCAGCAGCTTGAGATTGGCCGTGAGTATGCCACTGCACTCCAGCCTGGGTAACAGAGTGAGTCTCCAACTCAAAAAAAAAGACTGAAAGACTGAATAAGTGGGCCATGCATGGTAGCACATGCCTATAGTCCTGGCACTTGGGAGGCCAAGGTGAGAGAATCACTTGAGTCCAGGAGTTCAAGACCAGCATCGGCAACATAACAAGACCTCACCTCTACTAAAAATAAATAAATAGAATTTTATTTATTTGTTTTTTGAGTTGGAGTCTAACTCTGTCACCCAGGCCACTGCAGCCTCAGTCTACTGGGCTCAGGTGATCCTTCTGCCTCAGCCTTCCAAATAGCTGGAACTACAGGCAGGTGCCACCATGCTCAGCTAATTTTTTTGATTTACTATAGAGACGAGGTCTTACCAAGTTGCCCAGGCTGGTCTCGAACCTGTGGGCTCTGGAAATCCTCTCACCTTGACCTCCAAAAGTGCTGGGATTACAGGTGTGAGGCACTGCACCCGGCCCAATACTATTTTTAAAAAGGAAATAAAATACCGAATAAGTTGGCTGGACTTGGTGGCACGCCTCTGCAGTCGCAGCTTCTCTGGAGGCTGAGGTGGGAGGATCCCTTGAGCCCAGGAGTTTGAGGCTACAGTGAGCTATGAAGAGGCCACTGCACTCTAGCCTGGGCAACAGAACAAGGCCCCGACTCTAAAAAAACAAAATTACATAAAACAATTGAATCAGTTAATAGAAAAGCTTCGGATGCATTTATTCAAGAATTATTTATTAAGAGCTATGACAGCTGGCATATGTTTTGTGTCTTGTTTACCAGACTAAACGCTAAGGGATATGGAGCCAAACAAAACCAGACAGTCTCTGCCCTTACAGTTCCAGGCAGAGGGAAAGGCCTGTGCAAAGGCCCAGAGGCAGGAAAACACAGGGCGTGTTCAAAAACCAGAAGAGAGGCTATCTCGGCCAGAGAGTAATGGAGGGGGGAGAGGTGGCTCGGACCACCAGGCAAGGCCTCATAGGTCACGTGAGGATCTTGGATTTTATACCAAGGAAGATGGCAGGCCAACAAAGGTAAAGAGACATGTGGTCAAATGAAGCAGAGCGTGAGTTCGGCACTTGTGGCCTGGGATTGGTAGTATACTCATGATGGACTGACGGGTAGACAGCTGGGGACCCCTCTCTGGCCTGGGGACGGAACTTTCCAGGCTTCCAGGATAGGGGCCTTAGGCGGTGTCCAGTGCCCCATCTCCCACCAGGGTTTCTGCATGCCAGCAAGGCCAAGGACTGGCTCGTGTCCGAAGGGAGGGGCCTTAGTCCTGGGGAGTAGGTGAGCCTAAAAGGGCCGGGCTCAGGGGAAGAGGCTGGGGGGCCCTAGCATGGGCAGGATGCACACCCTACACCTCCACTGTGGACCCCGCCGCCGACAGACGCGGCGCTTTGAGCAGGCAGCCTGGAGTCCTCCCGAGGTCCAAGGGACCCCAGATCCGAGGACAGGCCGCGCAGTCCTGCGCCCTCTAGTGGTCGCTCCTGGGAGCGGTTCCCCACCCGACCCCGCTTTCCCCGCCGAGGGCATTCCAGATTCGAAAGACCCGGCGAAGACCGCCTTTCCTCTCGGCCGCTGTGTCCTGTAGACTGCCTCTCTGTGGCCAGAGGACGGGGAAGGCCCTCCTTCAGTCAGCCCGGGAGGCAGCACGCCTTGAGTCTCGTCAGGCCTTTTCCAGGGTGGGCAGGCGGTGGCTGCGCTGGCGTGAGCGGCCCGTGTCTCTCTCGGCGTACTGCTCCCCCGCGGCCGTGCGGAGTAGCCGAGCGGCACCATTCCTGGGCCTCAGTTTCGCAGGGCCTCCCAAGGGAAGGCATTCGGGGAACGCGACCCAGTGTTCTTCCCTGCCTTCTTCCGCCCCGCCTCTGTGGGAACTCCAGGCCCCAGCTGCGGAGTGATGCTGTGAAAAGGAACATCTGTGGGGGAAGCCCAGCCCCCGGGCTGGGGGTGCTGGGGCGGAGGTCGGGGCCCCGGGCGGCTCGCGGTGGATGCAGCCTGCTGGGCGACTGCGGAGCTCCTGAGCCCGGGAACAGATGGACTCACCCATAGGGCGGGTCACTGGGGAGGCCAGAGCCAGGGAATAAGAGTCTTCCCCTGGAGCCCTAGTAGGGACGTGGGCAGAGCGGGGGATGGGGCCCTGCAGGCCACCAGTCCGATGGGCCCACGTGTGAGAGCACCGGGGCCAGGCTGGACTCTGGAACGGCAGGGATGGTCGGCGAGAGCGTCTGTCCCTTTTCCGTCAGCCCTTCGGGGCGGCTCACACCACTTGGAGCCCCGAGATTCTGCCCAGACACGCGGACCTGAGCCAGCAGGACCCCCGCGCAGGCTCTCGGTTTCACGCAGAACCCACTTACGGCCTGACAACCCGGAAGGGATACTGAGGAAGATCTAAGGCTCAGACAGGTCCGGAAGGCGAAAACAGGCAAAGATGTTAGACAAAGCGTGGAGGCCGGGAGCCCCGTCCTTCGGGAATCCCGGGGAGGCGGTCTAGTACCGGGCGGCGGGGAGAGGTAGAAGTGGGCGG